ATTTTTTTCATATATATATATGTTGTTGTAATTTATTTTTTTGTTGTTGTATTTTTTTTTCTTTCTTACAAAGACATGTAAACAATTTGAACGTACCTGTGGACTAACTGGCGCTTTTGGAAGATTTAATGTATCCTCCTCTTCGGCTACGACAGTACCCAATGTTATGAAATAAGGAATGATGGCGATTATGTCGATAACATTCATGACATCCCTGCAGAAATTTAATTTGTTCGGACATGCGAGGAACCTATTTGTTTTGTTTGTTGTTGTTGTTGTTTGGTTGGTTGTTGATTTCGAATATTCCAAAAAAAGGTAGACGATGGATAATTTGAAATAAAGATTAATTTTTTTGGTTTGTAAAGAGGTTAGGGTTTGTTGTTGTTTTTGTTTGTTAGTATAAAGAGCAGAAAGAGAGTAGTTTTTGGAAAGTTGTAGTTGTTGTTATGGACAGAGAGTGTTTGTGTGGCGTTAGAGTTAAGTGTAGTAGTTAAAGGCTATCGTTCTTTACCCAGTGGTATCTCCATAGGTCCAACATATAGATAAAATATTTCTTTCGAGAAGGAGAGACTAGCAGACCCAGTGTGCCCTTTTATAGAATAGTTGAAACCTTGAGGGTTCGTCTATAAAATATAAGAACTTTTGAGGGTTCGTTTACAAAATAGAAGACCTTCTGAGGATTTTGTAAAGAAAAACGAATTTCTGAAGAATATAAGAGCCTATGAGCGGCCATCAAGTCAATAGTTGAACCCTTTAGGGTCTCTTTAAAGAATCGTTGAAACCTAGAGTGTTTTTTCGTGAGAGGTATTTTTCAAACGAGAACTTACCTTGAACGTTGTTCATCAGAATTAAAGACCCCTTGAACTATAGAGGGATCTTCTATAGAACAAGAAAGTCACTTAGTGTTATTCTATAGAATCTATGATGTGTCTGTCATAGTCAAGATAATTGACCCATTTTTATAGGGTATATATGATATATATACCTATATATGTTCATTGAAATGACATTTCAATGAACATATGTTCAATACAATAATGACACCTTGAGAATGTTTTATAGAATATATCACCTCTTGAGGTTCTACGATAGAGTAGAGACCCCTTGTTGGGTCCTTTATAGAATATACGATCGCATACGAGGTCAATAGATGCATAGCCCTTCTGAATAAGAATAGGGATGCCCTTATGGTGTCCTTTGAAGAAGACCCTCCGATTTCAAATGAACAAGCCCTACCGAATAAGAATAGGGGTTCCCTTATAGTGTTCTTTGAAGAAGACCCTTCGATTTCAATTGGAGAAGACCTTCTGGTTTTCTATGAGGAAGAATTTTCAGGCTTTCATGGAAATTTTGGTATTCTATGAAGAAGGCCTTCTACTCTTCTATGAAGAATACATTCGGGTCCTCTATGGCGAAGCGTACTTTTGGTCGTCTGTGAAGAAGAAGACCTTAGGGTCTTCCATGAACGATATCTTCAGGTCTTCTACGAAGAGGAAGAAAACCTATTGACCTTCTATGTAGGAGACCTTCGGGCCTTCTATGAGGAGGAAGAAAACCTTCTGGTCTTCCCTAATAACCATGGGCTCTTCTTTGAAGAAGACCTTCTGGCTATTCTATGAAGAAAGAAACCCTTCAGCTCATCTATATGAAGACAACACATTCAAATCTTCTATGAAGATCGCATCCTTCTGAGGAGATTTTATATATAACAATATGTTTGGAAACCTCCATGGGAGGCTTATATAGATTTTAAGACCCCCGTAGGAGGCTTCTATAGGTTAAGAGACCTCCATATGTTAGGAGACCTCCGTAGGAGGCCTCTATAAGCTACGAGTCCTCTCTAGGAGATTTCTATAGGTTAGGACTCCTTCATAGGAAACTTAGATAGGTTAGGAGACCTCTGTAGGAGACTTATATAGGTAAGGAGCGAAGCAGGATTCTATAAAATTGGAGACTTCTATATGTTAGTAGGCATACTTCTATAAACTAGAGACTTACGTAGCCTCCTTCGTAGAGGAATAGAACACGTCCGTAGAAAGACCTCCGTGTGAGTCGTCTATAGATTAGAAGACCTCCGTACGAGACTTCAGTAGTTAAGGAATCCTCCGTAGGAAGCCTTTATAATTTATTAGTCCTCTGTAGACCTCTATAGGTTAGGAGGCCTCCGTAGCGAACTTTGACAGTTTGGAGACTTCTATAGGTTAGGAAGCAGGATTCTATAAAATTGGAGACTTACGTAGGAAGTTTCAGAGGAATAGAACACCTCCGTAGACGAGGAGGATTAGAGAACCACAGTACTAGACTTCTGTAGTTACGGAAACCTCCGTAGGAGCCTTTATAAGTTACGAGTCCTCCGTAGGAGACCTCTATAAGTTACGAGTCTTCCGTAGGAGACCTCTATAAGTTACGAGTCTTCCTTAGGAGACCTCTATAAGTTACAAGTCTTCCGTAGGAGACCTCTATAGTTTAGGAGGCTTCAGTAGGGAACGTCGACAGGTTATGTAGGAGGTTAGAAGGCACGATTCAATAAAATTGGAGACTTACGTAGGAGGTTTCAGAGAACACGTCCTTAGAAGGCTTCTATACAATAAACATCCTTTTAGGAAACTTCGATACAGTAAGATACCTTTGGTCTCCTACAATAGAGGTGGATTCTATGGAATAGGAGACCTATATAGGAGGCTTCTATAGAAAAATTACACCTTCATGAGAGGCTTCGGTAAAGTGGAATATAAACGTAGTAGGCTACGAGAGAGTAGGATTCATCCGTAGGACGCTTCTATTGAAGAAGAACCCTCCGTAGATAGCCTTTATAGAATAGTAAAACTCTGTGGAAGCTTCTATATAGTGTGACGCATCCGTAGAAGGTTTCTACAACATTTGAGACCTCTGCTAAAAAGATCAATGAAATGTGTAACCAATGTAGTAGGCTTCGGTATAATAGGATACCTCATTAGGACACAGGAGTAATCATATATAGTATAACAGGCCTCCTTAAGAAGAATCATTAGATTATGGGACTTCCGTAGAAATCTTCGATAGATTATCAGATCATCTTAAGGGGCTTCTTTACAATAGGACACCTTCGTATGAGGCTTTGACAGAGTAGAAGTCTTCTGCAAGAGGTTTATATAGAATCGCATGGAGCTCCTATAGGATACATCCATTAAAATCTTCAATAGAGGAAGATACCTTCGAAGGGGGCTTCTACAGAATAGACGACATTTGTCAGAGTACCGTAGAGGTTCATTATTTTCAGGGCCTTAATGTGAGATTTTTTGAGTAAAGAATCACAGCCATAAAGAGAAAAAGTTTGTTAAGACAGTAGAGTAGAGTAGTGTTAGTAGTTTTATGTTCTTCCATATATATATATAAAGAAGGTTTATTTTGGTGTGATGGAACTTTTGTGTACTTATTACTATTTGTATGACGTTTCCCAAAAATAACAGTGTTGCCACATGCATATATTTTTAGTTTATATATTTTTTCTTTTGCATTACAAAATAGAAACGCTCATAAATCAATAATAACAATATCAAGAACTCCATCACCAAGATTCAGTCAAATCGTTGTATGTTTCAGAGGGGCTGGGTGGTCGGTGATTTTGAAAGAGAGAGAGAGAAGAAAGGGTGATTTTGTTGGTTGGTTTTGGAAGAAGTTAGAAGAAGACGATTGTGGTGTGATTGTGGTTGGTGGTTGGCGTTTATGGTTAACATAGTTCCTGCACATTTCGCATAATCAAAATTCATAATGTGTGGCATGTCCGTTAAACTTTTTGCAAGAACACAATTGTAGAATTGTGTTAAAAATTGTGTCCTGGTTCAATTCCATTTTCCATAGGACGTATTTTTAACAACTTTCGTTAAAAGAATGACACATGAGTTGTTTGGTTGGTTGGTTGGTTTGGTTGTTGTTGAAGATTACTACCATGCCACAATACTGGTTGCTACATTACAGAGAGGATATTCTAGTTATAAATAAACGAAAACGAATCGGTACGACTAACTACACACAAATTTTGTAAAGATTGGATTGGGGGCCCCAAAAATTCGGTATTTGCCAAAACGGAGTTGGAAATTGTAAATTACAAGAAAAAATTAAAAAAAAAATTAATTTTGCAAATTTTGAAAACATTTTTGAATTCATACGGGAGGACAGTAGTAACAGACATGGAAAGACTAAGACTAAGAAAAGAAAAAAATCGGAACAGAAAAAATATAGAATTCAATCAATTTCTATAAAAAGGGACTCTTTTTTCTACGGCATGCCATGAGTTTTTTGGGAGACTGTTTGAATTTTCGATTTGGTTTTGATGGTTTTGATTATATCCTTTTCGAGAGGTTATTGTGGGTTAACTGCGGATGCCTTAAATCTATCCAAAATTCTCCCAATTTGTGCCATTTGTTGTTGTTGTTGTTGGGGGTCCAAGTATAGTTTTGGTCATCAGTTGTTGTTGTGGTGTTACTCAGCGGCAAACAAAACGCAGAATAAATACGAGTACTTTGCATAACTAAGCAAGTAATATTTTTTAAGAGGGTTTGGAGCAAGAAGAAGAACGTGGTAAAGGGGGGTGGGGGTTGACTTGGGGTTTTAGGAGTTATTAATAATATTTTACAAAATCCCTGAGATAGTCACTTGGTTGGCAGCAATATATATATACAAAAAATAATAAATTATTATATAGAAAATATACAAAAGCAGCAATATTAAAAAAAAAATATCACCCTTTAAAGTAAAACATCATTTCATTTTATGTTTGTCAAGTTCCATCACACCAAAGTAAACCACGAGGTTCTGTGTTTAGTTAGCGTTCAGTTAGCAGTTGCCTCACTCCTTGAAGTGGGTGTGGTGTGTGGGCGGTTATAGTTTATCTTACCTAACAGTGAGTTCAAATGTAAACCAAATAATACATAACGTTTCTATAAGGAAGAAAGGATCTGTGATGTCAGGCACCTCATCTTCCTCGATTTTTGTGCCATTTGTAGTTGTGTTGAACACCTATAATGATATACATTCAAAATTTGTTTATTTGCAAAATAAAAAACGGATTAGTTTATCTCGTTACAAAAAAGGTTAAGAAAAAAACAATAATTAATTGAATAATCATAACAATAATAATAATAAAATGGAAAACCTGAAAATATATTCAAGAAAAATAATTTGCATTTGAGGAATGAAAAAATAAACTAGGCGGGGGGTAAAGAGAGAGAGAAAAAATAAGTCTATACAAAATGGTTTGAGGGGGAGGAGGAGAACTATATTCTAATTATAAAAATACCCAAAATGATTTAGTTATATATACATATATTATAAGGTTTATTATAAGGAATAAGGATAACAAGGTTTTGGATATGGGAAAGTATGGCAACTCTATCTAAGCAAAATGCAATAAGTTATCATTTTTTACCCACTACTTACAGGAGCTTGAATATTCATAAAAAAATAATTATGTATGAAATTTCTTGAAATTCTGTTTTCTAATGTAAAAAAATAAGAAAATTAAAATTGAAGCATTTTTTGGAAATTGCACATTTATAGCGGACTTCAAACCTATAATTTTTATTTTTATTTATATACTAATATTTATTTATATGTAGTTATTATTTATTATATTATATTTTTTATTATGTACAATATATATTTATATGTGTATGCATATTATTTTTCTTTCAATATTTATATTCATTATTATTTTTATTTATATCTGACCTATAATTTTTTAAAATTATAATGTATGGCAGTGGAACAATCTTTGGTTCTATATTTTTATTATATTTTTTGTAAGCTTTATTTCAATTATGTTTTATCATTCATTTCATTATTGCATTAATATTTATTGTATATAACAAATTATTATTTATAAATTAGATTTTTATATTATTTTTATATCCATTATATTTGATTAGCTAACGTGGCGATATATTTTACTGTATATCCAATTACTAAATTATAAAGTTTTTTTTTTACAAATATTTTCCGTATATCCAAATCAATAAATATTTTATATTTTCGGTCACATAACATACCACATTTTTGGAGATAAATTGGACGGGCAACTTTATTTTTTTCCGGGGTTTCTAGTCGAGCAAGAGGCTAATATTTAAATTATAGAATGGATCGGCCAATATTTTGCGGGTCAAATGAGCCAAGAATTTTGTGAGTAAAATAACAACATTTTAATCTTATGCCGTAATTGTTCTCTCTAGTAAAACATGATTCGGAAAAAGTGGTTTGAAGTATAGATCCGCAGAAAGTAATTGGCCCCGACCAATTACACTGCGCATCTCACTGGTTTTATTTAATTATTTCAATTTCATTTTGAGGATAGGAAGTTGTTTTGGAACTTTGTATTCGTTCATTTTGTTGACGAATGGATCTATGATATAATGCTATTGGGGTGCATCGGCATCACAAGCGGAGTTGGTTGTTGGTATATGTTGGTGAAAGAAGTTCTCCGGCATCTGAATCCTTGATCTTTGTACTTATTTTTTAATAATGTGTATAGTTAAGAGATTGAAATATTTTTCAGAGACCCCATATTCATTATCAGAGTAAAATTCACATACGATTTATTAATGCTGGTCTGTCGATTGGTCTGCCGAAGTCATAATAGAGTATTCAAATTTTGCATATAAATTGTTATTACCCGTAGGATTTTTGGTATTAAAAAGGGAATATATCAGTTCTGATTTTTGACTCTTTTTGTACATCTGGGAGCCTAAGAAAAGTTTTCAACAGAATTGGCTAAATTAGTATTTTGACTTCTCATTGGGTAATACATCTTTCTGCCAAATATTATCAAAATTGGTCGATGTTTCACGATATTTAGAATTCTTGAACTATCAATTCTCATTAAGAACAATGTGTACTAGGGCGGGCTAATTTATATTAAACCGAAAAAAAAATCGATTAAATCCAGCCCCTATGATGATTATATAGTCAATTCTAAGCAAATTTGGTGAAGGAGCCATAGGTCTATCTCGATTTTCGAATCTCTCACTTTTCAAAAAATGATTTTTCCCTATAACATCATTTTGATTCAAAATTCGATTTTTTTTATCAATTTTACCGAAACGCTTTTCTCAAAAAATAAATATGTAAGAAACGCCCTCTGGCGGTGGTCACAGGTATAAAAATAAATCGACCCCAAAGACCCCATATATACATAAAAAAGATAATATAACAATGAATAAAAAATTGAATTTTGAATCAAAATGATGTTATAGGGAAAAAATCATTTTTTGAAAAGTGGGAGACTCGAAAATCGAGGTAGACCTATGGTTCCTTCACCAACGTTGCTTAGAATTGTCCATAGAGTCATCCTAGGGGCTGAATTTAATCGACAAAAAATTTGGACCGCGCTAATGTGTAGCATTTTTACCTATACTAATAAAAAAAGCTAGAATCTGAAATTTGGGATGAGGATTACTCTTGGTCCAAAGGTATCAAATAAAAGCTGTGTTTTTGGAAATTCGTACTAGAACGATAAGAAAAGTAGTAGCTGTGGTAACATTTGTATTTGGCGAACCGATAGATACTATTAAATTTGAAATGAGGATCACTGATGCAGAGTAGTATACATGCACCACATGATTTTTGGAAATTCCAACTATAAGTATCCCAAAAGTACTATAATGCACTAAATTTGGTACAATTTCATAGCATGTGAACGGAAAGAGATAAAAAATTGAAATTTAGAATTCGAAGTAAGGTTGAGAAGTATGTTCGATATAAGGAGGTGGTTTTGAAAGTGTGTACACATGTATACTAAAAGTACTAAACTGTACTAAATTTGGTACAATTTGCATTTTGAGGAACAGATGGAATTGGGATCCTGAAAAGAACTAAATGGTTCTAAATTCGGTACATTTTGGATTTGGGAGAACCGATAGAGTTAGGGTCACTGTTGGAGTGTAGGAAGTTTTGGAAATTTTTGTTGGATATGTAGGAAGTTTTGGAAATTTTTAGTAATGTGTACTAAATGGTACCAGTTGTGGATTTGGGTGGTCCGCTAAAATCTTGAAATTTGAATTTAGGACCACAGTTGGGGTGCAGAATTGAGATAGGTGGGAAGATGTTGTAAAAACCGTACTATGAGTATTAAATTGGGTACAATTTAAATTTTGGGTAGATCTGGGATCCTGACATTTGGAGTTAGGATCATTGTTGGTGTGTAGGATTTGGGTATGCAGGAAGTTTTGGAAATTGATATTAATGTGTACTAAATTTGGTACATATTGAATTTTGCGTGAAATGGTAGAGCTCGAATCCTGAAATTTGGAGTTAGGGTTACAGCTGTGGTGTAGTATTGGGATATGCAGGAAGTTTTGGAAATTTGTACTAAATAGATCGACTCGAAAAACAAAATGTAGGTTTTCGGTCCACTTCATCATACTTGGCACCTCATGGAAAATTTCAAAGCGATCAGCGCTATATTTCCGCCCTGTAGAGTGGTAATTGGTCACTAAATAATATATGAATACGTAAGCAGGTGTAAATATTTAATAATTGGTATAAATTTAAAGGTCAAACAGTCCTCTTGGACATACTATCAACTTCTCGGGTCTAGGTCCTTCAGTGGAAAATCTATACGCAAACAAAATACAAATTTTGTAATTTTTCACACAAAAGTCAGGGTCCATTTGACCCGCTAAATATTGACTGATCTTTTTTAAAAACAGGCGTGGATATTCATTGGCCCGATCCCCTTCTCCATGTACATAATTGCGACCTCTGGAGCGGCCTAGATACACACATGTCTAGATCGACACAGCTAGTCGAGATATGACGATCAGTATACTTAAAGGTGGGTCTAGGACCAATATTTCCCGGCGTTACAAACTCTTGGGCTGCACAAAACTATAATACCCTGATAACATAGTTGTTCAATAAAACATTTACAAAATATCTTACATCCGTCTAATTGAAATATAGTCATCCATTTCGGGGATTCAAAAGTATGGGACCAAAATTCGACATATGTCACACTATCGTGTATAAATTATCGAAACCTACAACAGTATTTTTCGGTTAATTGGTTTCCCCGCTTAATTGAACCACATGATGGTAAATGTTCTCGGATAATTAATCCCTGTTAATTGATTTTCCCGTTTAATTGGTTCAAAAATCGTGTCATACAAATAAATTTCCTCTTATTTTTCACCGGTTAATTGCATTGTTTTTGAAAAATAATCAGGCATTTTTAAAGACCCATGGTTCCTTTTGAGAATATGCATAGAATCACTTTCTGAGTCGATTTATGCATGTCCGTCCGTCTGTTGATGTTAAATTGTAAACAAAGTACAGGTCCGATTTAGATGAAATTTCAAATTTAGATATAGCTCCCATTTTCCGATTTTAGGTAAATGGTGCACCAAATTTCTAATTTGAAATTTAGCATAGGTTTTAGAATGGCATATGTATGGATTGATGTTAGTCGGTTCACATAAATAATATAAAATAAAGATCACATATTAAAGTCCATTCAATTTCATGTCAATGTTCCTTCGAAGAGCGACGTCTGTTAGGATACATATGTAGAACACACCAAATTGGTGAAGGGTATCATATAGGCGGCCTAGTCCGACTTTATTACTTTTCTTACTCGTTTTACATACATATTTGACATCATTAATGAATAACACTACGGTACATCTCTACTAATTGTTTATTGCTAAGGAAAAACCGCGAGAAAGCGGAAGTGTGATTTCTGTAATTGAACAAACAGTTCAATTAAGCGGGTATTGAATAATTGGTCCTTGTGCAAATTTTGATGTGCAAATAACCGAAAAATACTGTATAAAAAGGACTATTCTCCCAAAGCCATATATCGTGCTTTAAGAGGAGATATTTAAAAAGACTGACGCGGTTAAAAATATTGAAGGGCATGTGTATCATCGTTTCGATCTTTCGCTGTGTAACTACGAAGTTTTTTTTTTAATATTTTTTAATTAAAATCTAATGAAGTGGTAGTCGTATATCATCGTTTCGATCGTTCGCTGTGTAACTACGAACTTTTTTCAATAATTTATGAAAATTTAACGCCGATTAGTATTACTACTTGTTTCATTGTTGCTTTGATTCTATTAATTTATTGTTATTAATTTATATTACATAACATTTATTTATGATTTTTATTATTTATAATTTTTAATTATATTTTATTTTATTTTATTTTATTTTTATAATTTTACATAAAAATTTTGACCAAAAAAATCAACTTACTTCTTGTTCCAAGACCATTTCTATTTTTGAATTTAGAAAATCTGGTTGTTTCTGGTAATCCAATTGGAAACAAAAATAAAATTTTCAAAAACAATTATTAATAATTAACAAAAATCTTATTGTTTTTTTTTTTTTTTTTGTTAAAAATCGCCCAATGTGCACAAAATTTCATCTAGAATTGTTATGTGCAAAAGAAATTTCAGCTAGCTTCTACTATATAGAAGAGAGTTCTATCCTGATCTAAACTATTGGCTATAATGCAAAAATAACGGGGAAAGTTATTATGGGGGATAATTAGGGAAAGGGGAAAAGTATGGTGGGGAGTTATTTATCTGCAATAAAAAGTATACGCTTCAAATTGAAAAGATATTAGTTCGTTAAGTTTTTTTTTATCAAATGGGTATAGTATTTTTTGTTTGGATTTGTAAACTATAAAAAAGGAAAATAACTAGATCTTCATGTTTATATACAAAAAAAAAAAAAAAAAAAAATAGGTATACGATAATAATAAAAAATAAATAGAATTATATAAATAATTTAAATTATAATACAAAATAAAATAATGAAATTAACGCACAATTAACACACAATAAATTGATTATGTTTTTGCTTTTTCGGTTTTTGTCCTTTGGACGTTTACCACTTACCTTATAATGCTTAAATTCGGGTAATGTTTCTAGACAAAATATAACAATTGATAGCAATATAACAAATACACTAATTATGGCTACAACTCTGGCGGCTTGTGAACTTTCTGGATACTCAAAAAGTAACCAAACTTTTCTTTGATTTTCATTATCCGGCAATGGTCTTTCCTCTTCCTTAATAAAGCCTTCATCCTCTCTAAAGGTGATTGAAGAAGAAGAAATGGGAAATAGAGAAAAAACAAACGTATAACATATAGAAATATAATAGAAGAAAATTATACACAAAAAAATTTGCAAAAACAATTATAATTAAAAAACATTAATAATAATTATAAAAAAATTTAAATTATTACTACAACTAAGAAAAAAAAATTTTTGAGATTTTTTGATTTTTTTTTAATTTGTTTCATTTAATTTTTTTTCTAGTTTGGCCAATTGCACTATAAAATTGTTAATCAAATCATAATCACACAAATCCAGGAAGAAAAATTCAAAGACGATACCACAGCCATCATCATCGTCATCATTTCATTGAAGTACAAATTACCAATTGTATCAAACTTTGAATTTTTACACATTTCAAAATAAAATCACAAAGAAATTATTTGAAATCAAGAAAATAAAAATATTTGAAAAAAAAACAAATCAAAGGTATAGGGAAACGAAAAGATTCTTAGAATATGAAGAGCACACGACTGTTCGATTTTGTTTTGAGTTTATTTCTGTTGTTTCTGTTTTCTTGAACGTTTTTTTGCTTCACATGTACAGGAGTGTTTTCTTGGGCTGTTTCTTTTTATTTAGAATTATCCTTGCTTGTGTGAAGTGTTGGTTTTTGTTCATTGTGTGAAATACAACGAATGCGTAGGTTTTGTAAATTGGGCGTATATACAGATGATGTTATCGAAAAATCCATTTTTTTGTCGATTATTTTACATTTTTAAATTATTTTAAGGAAGTCTGCTTTAAGGCAATACTGAATATTAAATATAAAAATATCTTTTATAGGTTAAGAGCCATTATAAATAAAATTATCGAAAATGGCCGGGCAATGATTGATTTAAGTTTCGGCGTGGGACTTATAACTTATTAATTTTGGTCACGTTTTTACCAGAGTTGGTAACAAATTGATATTATAGGTTGTCATTGAGTGTCAAAAATCTACATACGAAAAATTAACATGTAAAATTCCTGGTCGATTTTAAGCATTTTGAATGCCTACATCATGGTGGAGTGGATGACACAATAAAGAGGTACTCCATCTGATTAGTTGGAAAATTGCAGTGTTGCCAACCATGAGAAATATTACCAGAATCAATTAGACAAAAAATTATTTTTTATATAACACCTTATTATTGCATCACGGTGGAGGGTAAACAAGTTCAATACGTCTGAACTTAAAGACTTTTTTCTTTTGTGTTCAATCGCTTTTTATTAAATATTGAAAATCGCATGGGAAAGTCTCAATGGTAAAATTATAGGAATATGGAGACAAATTCTTCGAATTAAAACCCCAGTGTGTATCTCGAAACATGCCTTGACCGAGATCTCTTCTATTGAACCCATAGGATTTCATTTTAATACAAGTAATTTCCACATAGATGATGGATGTAATTTTGGTAATAATCTGTCAGCCGTTTGCAGTTTTCGATAAAGGGTGGATATTTTATGTCCGGGATAAAACTTTCCCTAATTCACAACTTGAAAATAGAAGTTTTTCAGATCTCCTACTTTAAAGATATGAGTTAATTCTTACAGAAGAATAAGGAGTCATTACTGATGATCTGCTGGTCGCCAAGAAATCTTTAGCGGTGAACTGGTGTCCAGAACTTTTCAGTTCAATGTAAAGCTAGAAATATTTATAATTAATATTACGATGTGCTAATTTTTAATGAAAATGCTTACTCCATTAATGTGCGCAAATGCCTGCCGGACATGTGTAAATCAACTCTAAATCTTAAATGGATTTCGTCCAAAGAAACATGGGGTCTAAAGCCAGTATTTCGATGATACATATATTTGCCGTATCAAAGTGTATCAAACGTACAACTCTCGGAACCCAATTAGGATAAGTCGGACATTTCTTTACTTCTTTGGAAACGGCGAAGAGGATTATGTATCGGGAAATCCAGAAAAAAATAAAATCATTGAAGAAGAAAAAAGAGCGCTCTATCGTAGGATACAAAGTGAAGACTAAGCCTACCCAAAGTCAAAGATACTGTCACGAGAATCAATTGTCTGAGGGCGTCAAAGCCGGTCCTAGTATGTAGAAGACGAGTGCCAGATCGTAATCTTCCATAAAGACCAGAAATTTCAAAAGGATTGGACTGCACGAAAGAGGAATATGGCAGCAACAAATTGTAAGAAGCCGCCATTGTTGCCACGCGATGGTCGCAGGAGACATTACAGGTACAGGTACGCGATCGACGAGAATAGAGCTTCCGGAAAACTAAGTAAGGAGGTGCACAAAGATCACCTCCTGCAAGTGGGGAACCTTATTGACTTGTCCCTTTGCGTGTTCAAAGCGGAATATATAATGATCCGCCAACAGGCGTTAAATCCTTTGCCTTATCACGCGAGCCAATCGAATATAAACAGGTAAGAACAAAGGACCGGAGATCACGAAATACGAATATGGCAACAACAGCTGCTAAGGAGCTCTGTTATGCAATGATCGACTGAGCCAACCCAAAGCCAATGGAGACTGTGATCAGAATCCATAGGTTGATGACAGCAAAACCTAGCTCCAGTATCCCGAAGATGAGCGAAACTTTCCGTAAGGCGAGAATACTCAAAGGGCCTAACCGGAATTAACGAAAGAGGAAGAAGGCAGCATCAAATGGATACGAGTCCTGATATGCGGTGATCGAAGAAAATAACACTTCCGGCAAACTAAGTATGAAGGGTGCACAAAGAGTTGATGAATGTGGTCAAGATCAAGATCCTGGATAACCTTCTGCATGTGAGTGAACCAAGTCGATATCGCTAGTTGTCAGTTCAAGGGAAACTTTCGAAACTTTCCGCAAAGACGGAGAAATCCCAAAAGGACCTTTTTCGTTAATTCCGGTCTGCTGGATACTAGAGTCGGTCTTGCCGCTCTCAGACGATTAATTCTTGTGGCAGTCTCTTTTGGCCTTGAGTTGGCTGAGCCTTTTCTATGCATCCGAAAAGAGGGTATCTTTTTCTTCGTCGACGCTGGTTGACGCATCAAAGGGAAACTTTCCGCAAAGACCGAAAATCTCCAAAAGGACCTCTTTCGTTAATTCCAGTCTGCTGGATATTAGAGTCGATCTTGCCGCCCTCAGACGATTAATTCTTGTGACAGTCTCTTTTGGCTTTGAGTTGGCTGAGCCTTTTCCATGCATCCGAAAAGAGGGTGTCCTTTCTTCGTCGACGCTGGTTGACGCATCAAACAGCAACAAATGGTAGTCAGGATCTGATATACAGTGATCGACGAACATAGTGGGTCCGGCAAACTAAATAAGGAGATTTAAAAAGAGGTGGTGCATGCGATCAACAACAATAACCTTGGATCACCTCCTGCGAGTTGGTGAGCACTCAATCGTTCTGTCCAGCTGCGAGTTCAAGGTGGGTGAGGACTCAATCGTTCAAGGTGGGTGAGGACTCAATCGTTCTGTCCAGCTGTGATTTCAAGGTGGAATATCTATTGCCCCATTTTGTCTTCTCATGTGAGACAATCGAATGTAAACTGCTAAGTATGAAGAACATTCCTCTTTGTTCGAGTTTTTTTCCCTCCACAGAACAATAATGAAGAAGTGGTCGTTATATATCTTAAAAAAAGACATTCCACTTCTTCACGAGCAGGAAGTATCCTTGCCGTAGGTTTGAAGAAATCTTCTATGCCGAGTAGTGTCATGGGTGAGGCGTACTATGTATCCAAAGTAGTCTCCTCCACCATTGGGAAGACAAGAATTGGAGAGGAGAATAAGACAAAGATTCCTAAGATATGGTTTATTGGAGGGTAATTTACGTGGGTCATCCAAATAAACCACCATCGGTTTGAGAGGGCAACAATTGGGCACCTTGGACTGGTAAAAATGAGGTGGATATATCGGTCCACGTGTTGGTATATGACCCAAATATTCATTATTTTGGTGATTGTTGGAACGATTTTCAATCAATTTGCATTCTAATTTGGTACTTTGCGTTTCCATTACATAGCAATTCTCCATACCCAAATGTGGGTACCCCATTATTCTGTAGTTTAGAGAGCTTGGGCAAGTTTTCCAACAGAATTATCTATAATGTGGTATTTTGAATTATCTTAGAGAAGTAAATCTTTCTACTACGTAATATTGGTTGACTTTTTAAGATATCCTCCAAATAACTGTATGCCATTTTCGGTATTTTGGGTATTTTTGGCACCTCGACATTTATGAAGGTCCCAAACGATTACTGATATTTTAAAATTCCACCTTCTGGTGGAATCTATAAAAAGTTGGACCCGGTCGCAATTAATGATGTTTTTACTTTTATATATTTTTGACTATTTGGATCTGATATTACGATAATAGAAATGATCGATATTAATTTTATGTTGTCATTTCTCAATACCCAAATTTGTATTGTTACCTTAAAAATAGACTTCCTCCAAATATATATTTTTATAAAATATCAACTAATCGATTGATCGAAAAGCCAAACTGTATATATAACCTAATTTATCATTTTATGTTTGTATATATTTTTTGTGACATTTACATTTGTATTAAAATTGTGTTATGTTTCACATCGTGTAGAGTAATTGTAAATGTTTATCATGTTTACCATTTTTTCTAAGTTTTTTATCTTTTTGTAATTAAAAACATTCTCTCTCAGGAAAATTCAGGACAATTTTTTGAGAGGCTGTGTTTTTATGTCACAAAAAGAGAGATCGTCGCTTGAGTTGAGTCAAGTGATTATTTTATTATTTTTTTGTATTGAACAGAGAACGAACACAGCAAAAACACATCACATCTTATCTAATTAAAAAAGCTCATGCAATGCTTTTTCTAGCATTCTTGCCTTAATTGCTTTTTGCTTTCTACAAAATGCTGGTGGGCGTAACACAATATCCTGCTCGGGGGGAGATTGGCTGTATGCACACTCAAACACACACAACAGGACGACAAGAAGTATTGACTTGGTCCAAAAAAAAAAAAAAAAATATATTATTATGTTTTTTTGGCAACAAGAAAA